CCCCAAAACCCCAAAACCCCAAAACCCCATCGATCTAAAATAGAGTATGTTAAGGAGAATTGAAGCTTAGTTTTAATAATATTATTAATTCTGGTTGGTATTTTCACAATAATTCATGCAATAAACTGAAAAAGCAATACAATAAACTATTCAGACAATTTACAGAAGATAATTGCCTGCCCATCTTATTAGTTTTTCTTCAACAGAGGGTAAGCAATTAACCCTAACTCAATTTTGAATTTTCTTCCCAGTGGACCCTGTAATTAATAATGTTTTTGTGTAGGTAAAAAATTGTTTCTGGAAAGTATGATGCAGGGAACTATGGAAGACTATTTCAATTTAGCTGAGTAATACACTACTCAAGCAGAGCCTGAATATTGTGGACCAGCTAGTTTAATAATGGTATTAAATGCCTTAAATATTGATCCTTCAAAGCCTTGGAAAGGGTAAGTAGTAAAATTAATAATCAAAAACGAGGAGAAAAGCATGTAGCAACTGCTAATAGACTATTATTCTCACAATGAGGTGAATCATTTTCAATTAATGATTATCCTTCTTTATCCTTTGCCTGCTTATTAATATACTTATATCACTATTAAGGATATGGAGATGGTTCACTGAGGAAGTTCTTCATTGCAGCACCAGTGAAATGATGAAGCAAGGGTTAAACCTTGAGTAGTTAACAATGCTTGCAAGATGCAACGGCTTACATACCTAAACATTTCGGCCACTGTTGGATCCAATAAAAGATCCGCGTTTTGAATTAATTGACAAGGATTTACTTGATCATAAGCATCACGATCACTCGATATCTAGTGAAAGCTGTTGCAGTATGATAGCAGAACATTTGCCTAATAATCTCGAAGATCACCCTTATAAACTCTATGGATTTAATGTCAATCAAAATAGCTTTCAATAGCAATTTCATACTCACAAAGATTCTGACAAATCTCACCATAGCCAACCACCTATTCCTCTTGATAGTGAGATGGGTAAAATGCTTCATCATAATACTTCAGCTGCTTACATCAAGAGATTCGACTTAAATTTTATGAGAACAGCGATCCTTTCCACATCTAGAAGGTAAGGTCTGTATTTAATGGCCAATATAAGCAGAAAGACTTTACTTTAGACTGGAGATGGCCACTTCACTCCTATTGGTGGTTATCACATCTCCTCTGACAAAGTTTTGCTCTTTGATACTGCACGATATAAATATCCACCTCATTGGGTAGATATAAATTCTCTCTTTGAAGCAACTTAGACGATTGATTCAGACACAAATAAGCTGAGAGGCATCATCGCTTTCTCTTCTAAGTTAAAGCTTCAGTAAATTCAACAGAAAATCTTTTCTACTGTCACTGTAGATTATTAAGCTACATAGCATGCATCAAAGTTACTTTGCCAATAATTCAGGCCATAAATTATTGCGGATAATATTGAAGGATATAAAGAGCAGTTTAATTGCCAATTGGGTAATGCTTCAGACCTTGACTTAAAGTTAAAGTACATTCTGAATATTCTAAATGACAAAGAGATTAGAAGCATTTTCTTTGTTTATTTCCATGAATTGATCAATCGTTTCGCTTTCGAAGACTATATTGCTTATCACAGAAACGACTTATTTTATCTTTCAGAATACTTCTAAAGTCTAGTTTACACTATCAAACTACTACCCTCTGCTATCTATCTAATGGAGCGAGAAGAGTATTTCAAGGATCATGAGTTCATTAAGATGGCTCAATCATTTATCCCAGGCTATGAAACCTTATTCTGTTCAATGGTATTGCACGCCTTACCAAAGTAAATATTCTATCGACTGAGAATTAGTGGAGACAAGGACAGTAAGAATCAGATGGAGGAGAACTTTTGGAATCTGTTCTTAAATGAGGAACTCCCTCCTATCATTCAAAATGAAATAATGATTATCAGGTATCATCTAGATATTAAGAGTGAATATTGTCATATTTCTGACTACTCTGACACCTCAACTGAGCATACCTTTAATCATTTCAATACATAGGCACAAAGTTCATGATATTTGGAAAACTATTGATAAAAATGAGATGAATAATGAAATTCAATGATGAGTTGGGTTGAGCATTTTCAAAAACATTAAAAATTCAAACTGCATCAACACTCTCTTTCATTGATTTCACTTATTCATTTGCTGCCTATGTTGATAGATGAATTATATTAAAATTTAGTTTTTAATTATAAATATATCTTGTTTTAATGTAAAACCAATATTGTGGTTTTAATCTCATGAGGGGGTTTTGGGGTTTTGGGG